CACCTCCCCCATTTCTCCTTCACCCTAACCTTACAGTTGCAACCACCACCATCTCATGTCTAGTGGCTCTGCTCCAGTACTACTACAGGTATCCCACTGTTTAGAAACAATTCACCTGAGGAATCAAAGCCAGAAAACGCCACACTCCACAGATAATTCATATACAGTTCCCTTTGATTTGAACACAGTGAACATCACCAAATACAAATACAGAACTGTGAAGCCCTACAAAGACAGAGATTCACAGACTGATTGAATTCTCTTTGACTTCTTAAAAAAAATTTTAAAAAAATTAAAATCCACATTTAAGACGGACAAAGCTTTTCACATCTGAATGAAATGTTAATGTTAGAATTCTTCAGCAACTCTCACTAGTAATTACACATTATGTCACTATATGTGACATACAACAGCAAAATGACACAGAACTACACAATTTAACAACCTCAATTTAGCCAAGGCTGGACACACTTAATAGCAACTTGAAAGCTAGAATTTGTAAGTACATGAGACTAACTGACATCGTATCACAGAAAACAAATCAGACATTACTGGATGTTACAGAGGTTAATGAGGCCTTAAAGTAAAAGCAAAGGCATCCTTTCAAGGCACTTGTAAAATTAACTTGATGTGTTCTTCCACAAAGAATTGGAAGTTCTGGTGATAACAGGAAACAGTATTTTATACGAAACAAAAGTAATTTCAAACCACTCTAACACACGCACAAAGCGTAAGAATTGGTATGCAAATATTCAACATTCAACTAATTTAAACTGTAGTAACACACTATTAAAATAAGCTTGCAGTTCTGGAGAGGAGTGCACTGGAGTTCTTCACCCTCTTCACATTATATGGAGCACATATGGCAAGAGGCTGGGATAATGGTGGAGGAATGCACTAGAAAACCAATAGTCTCTGAAAATTTAGCCCTGCTATTCCTAGTTAGTACAACATCTGTCAAACCAAAATACAAAGTAAACCTAGGGATAGGTTAGGTGTTTCTGTGTCTGCAGCTGGCTGAGCAAAATAAATCATAAAAGCACCTGGGATGACATTTACATGTTGTAACCGTTGCTGAGCAGGTTGTGCTAAAAGGAGAGGTATTCGATTGTAACTACCACTGCTTTTTAAGCAGCAAGTAAGAACTACTTAAGTCTAAGTAACTGGATGTACCTTAGAGGAAATCCACAATGGGCACCTTACTAAAGGACTGCCCCTTGAGGAGGGAAGGGGAAGGAACCACCCCATCTCACTCAATGTTGAGCATTGCTACATTGCCTATGGAATTAAAATTAGAAATAGTTCAACGTGCTAATGTATCCTGCATGTCATTGGCAGCTCACTTCCAGACGTGTCTTGAAAGTCTTAAAGTCATTCTCAAAGTCTTGCAAGGCATAAATAAACTAAACATTAAGTGGTTAGAGTGATATGCAAGTAAATTTTCTTACTTCAAGCATCATGGGTTCACAAACTTTTTTATTAAACTTGTCTTTGTTCTTTCTTAGCCACATAAGAGCAGAGTGTGTGTCTCGGAATCTCCCTTTAAGAGTCTCTTCCTTCATATTCATTATATTATTAAGTTGTCCAAGGCGATCAATTAGTCCTGTAATTTAAGGCAGTTTCTTAAGCAGAGTCCATAGCAAGTACACATTATAGCTAGCATTTTCCAATATTTATTGACTGTGATAAGCCACCAATAAAGTTGTTAAGAGATGGTAAGAATTAAGTTTATCTTCCCTCAATCAAGATGCTGCTTATTGTAAAGAAATTTTAAGGACTATTAAAACCTAAAATAAAACAAAGACTTAAAGGATAACGAAATGTGGTAGCAGAGTAAAACCACAGGAATTTAGTCCTAAAAAAAATCTCTCTTCAAAACTCGTTCTACCTTTGTATTTAAAAGCAAAAACACCCTAAGAGGAAAGAGGTAGTGAGACTAGCAACATGAAATCTCTGAGTGTTATTTCACGCTCGCAGAAAACAAAATTTGTGACAACAGACTGTGCGTGCAAGCATTTGCTAGTCAAGAGAAAGAGAGACCAAATACTTTCTGTGCTTCTCAAGATAAAATATATAGTGTCTCCTTCCCTCGGTCACTTGGTCTCTCTCTACACCTCAGTTTCTTCTTGGGTTCTGCGACAAGCTAAGTGCCAGACAGATAGGTAGGTGCAAACGTACTACACTCACCAAGGAATATATACAACACCCGCTATCCACTAAATTGTAATTTTTGAATTTTGTTTCTTAGAAAGGACTAATTGTAAACCCTAGGCATTTAGGGATTTACTAATTGTAAACCCTAGGCAATTTACTAATTGTAAATCCTAAAGGAATTTACTACAGTTAAAGTTAGTTCAAGTTCATGTAGAAAGGACAAGAGCAGCATCAGTAGTTAATATTCTGCCAACAGCACACACCTTCATTCAATTAAAAAAAATCACAACTAAACAAAACTAGCAAAGCAGTCTCCTTAGCCAGAGACCAGAAAAGTAATTTTTTGGAAGGATAGCTTTAAGGTCCATTGCTGCTTTTCAATCTTCTCGTTCTTTCTATTTCGAAAGCGGTTTCTGTTACTTTTAATAAAACTGGTATCAGACAAGAGGACTGCTATACATGTAAGACACAACTACGAGGCTTGAGGTGAACGTCTCCAATTATTTCACTGTTTCACTACAGCAGGACAACAAGTAGATTCTGTACCCAACTACTGTATCCAAGTAACTTACTTTTCTCTTCCCTTTGTTGGTTCATTTTCTCTGCTGTTAGGTCACTGATATCACTATCAAGATTTGCCCTTTCTTCTTGTAATTTTTTCAGCTCATTATTAATAGCATCAATTTGTGGCTGAAGATTCTCACAGACCGCCATTGCATTGAGCTCATTCTTCCAGTCCTCTATCATCTTGTGAGTGTTGTGTATTTTCTTCTGTCTGTCCATTTCTTCATCTTTTTTCATTCTCAAAGCTTGATGAATTTCTTCAATCTAAGAATTTTGAGTATTTCCAACATTACAGTTGTTCAGTATACAAAACCTATGACAAATAACTAGGATATCTGTGCAACTGATATTGAATGCTGATGTAACAATGCACTAGAACTTTAAGAGTCTGTCACAGTTCCAATAGCCCTATGACAGTTGAAGAACTGGCAAGATTTTGTTAAGATTTAGGAACATTTAAGCAAAAACAAAATCAAGCCTTTAAATCAAATTTTGAAGTTCCTTTATTTTCACAAAAGCAGAAGCTTAAAGCTTAAGTTCTTCCTTAACACATTGGAAAGTGAGTCTAAGATTGCATAAAATCTATAGCACAAAAACAATGCACAACATTGGCTTTGCATCCTTATGCATTTAATTTATACATTTCTTGATCAAGTGCTTAGATGAAGTTCTGTAACCGTATTACAACATATCTTTTCATTTTCTTTTTAAAATATGCTGGATGCATACACTTAACATAAGCAATAACCCTAGCCTCTCACATAGACGAGGACACATTTAATGCTGAGTGCATTAGTGTACTATAGAGGTTGTAGGTTTTCAAAGAAAGTCTGTAATATCTAATATATACACACATACTGTCTATTCCTAAGTTTATTGCATCAAGGTAACTGATTTTATGTAACATACACCTGTCCCTAGTAACACCTGTTTGATGAATAGGTGTTTTAAAGATTCACTGTGTACTGGAGGAAGTGGAGTGTGCAAGCACTTGCAGCCTCTTCAGAGAAATTTCCCTCCTCTCTAACAGAAGAGCAGACAAAAAACCCCTCATATCTATGTTTTACTGCAGAACTTGAGAAGTAGTTTTCCACTCAAATGCAGCATATGCTATAGCTAGTACTGAATTAATACATTAGCAAAGAAACACCAAAAAAGTAAAATATCAAGACTCTTACTTGTTTATCTTTCATCTCCAAAGCATCTTGCTTCTGTTTACATTTTTGAGAACAGTCTTTGATTTCAGCAGCCTGCATACAGTAAGATATTTAAATCAGATAGTCATAAATTCCGTTATAGTTCTATTTGTAAAAAGCAGCCATTTTAAAGAACAATCTATATATGCATAACTAAGCATTTATTCCACATTTTATTACTGACAAAGTAATATCCACCAGTTTCTTATTACTCTTACTCGTATCTGTAACATATTTTCAGCAATTTGTGAAGAGTTGGATGATGGCATATAAACTGTTCACAAGCATTCAGCTACAAATCTTCAAATTCAGGCATGACACACAGAGGAAGTCTTCTAAACTAATCTGAAATAAAAACAACTCTATCCTATATTTCAATGAAAATGTTACATTCAGATCCTTACACTTATAAAACGTTCTTGTTTCCTTTTCCAAACCAATCTTACCAAAGAAAGCTTACACTTAGAGCAAGAATAGGCATAAGCTTCTAGACACAGGATAGCCAAAACAGAACTTGCCAAAGTCATCCTACCTCTGAAGCGCATTGTGCTAAAGAGATATCCTACAGAGCTGAGCTTGACAACTTGTTGGCTCATGTGCAGGCACACACGTCTCTACTCTTTATCCTTCTCAGCTTCTGCAGAGTTTAGAGTGATACAGGTTGGAAGGGATTGCTGGGTATCATCCACAGTTGAATCCCTCGCTCAAAGCAGGTCATGTTAGGTCAAGTTGCCCAGGCATTTGTACAGCTGAGTCCTGAACACAGTGGAAGTGTACTATGCTTTCTCTACAAACTTAATTCCTCCCTTCCCTGAACCCTCAAGGCTGAAACCAGTGCAAGCAGAATACCAGAACACTGCAGGACTGTAAGTAAATTCCAGTGCAGACATGGAAACAGGCAAACGCAGCACCCTCGCTGGAAGAAATGTCTTCCTACAAACTGACTCACACTGAAAACGCTAAGATGCATCAAGAATGGAGAAAAATAAAACTATGCAGAATCTTTTCCTTCCCACAACCTGAAAGATGCACAAAAATTTAAGACCCTGACTCCACAGCTGTTTGCATGAAGGCAACATGGAACAATTCATCTTGGTCTTGCAGCTGACTGCAACGCAGTACTGATTCTGTGATGCTCTCCAAAGACCTGAAGCAAGCACTGTGAAGTGGAAGCTCTCTCCCAGGAAACTGATGCAAAATACTCACAAAACAATTCTGAAAGCTCTCAAAATCAGGACAATACTAAGGAACTGGAATTTTCAGTTATCACTATATTTTCAGTTATCAGACATTTATATATACCTACCTTACAGAACAGATTAACAACAGTAATTGTCTTTATGGCTTCCATGGGAAAATCGCAACACACTGTTTTATACTGTCAAATATTGCTAAAAAAATAGTATTGCATAGTCCACTCTGTTCAAATACCTTTAGAGAGCCTGAAGTTAAAACTATTCTAGGCTTCTCTCACACAATTTTATCAACCTCTTCCTACAAAATGGGCTGTTATCTTTTTTTCAGAATCCACATGTCCTACACACCCAAAGCACAAAATTTTACTAGGAATTCTTAGTCTAACCAAATCCTTAAAAGGATTTTTACACAGAGAGAGACAAGAGAAATAGTCTTGCAGTGTCTTGAAACATTAATTTCTTCCCAGAAGTAGTTCTGCCTTCACTTTCAGTCCAGGTCCTGCCAGGCAAAATCTGTAACACTATGCCTGGCTTTTTGCCAACAAAGTGCAAACAAGACATAACGAAGAGGTGCTTTATCTCTGCTCTCACATATATATCCTCAAGCCAAGAGCAAGATCTCAAGAAGCAGTCAGGATTACACTTATTTGATAATGGATATAAGCCTGGACCAAAGGGCTTGAAGACAATTATGCTCCCTACGAGTCTGTGTGTCAGAAATAGAGAGGATTTAAAATACTAAACTGCTTTTCCTTAATGCCAAATTCAAATTTGTCTTGAAAAAAACAACTTTTGGGCCAAAAATAGAGTTATACCGTTTTTATCATAAAATCATCCATTAATAACTCCTGCTGGCTTACAACATAATTATTCATGAAACGCTCACCGAATTCTTTCATCTACAAAGATAAAGTTCTAAGTTGCAATAAATTCAAGCAGTATCTATGAAAAAGAAAAGAACTAATGAAGAAGCAGCAACTTAAGCAATTTCAAGGTACGGTACTTAAAAGCCTTGAGGTTTTACCTTAGGTCAAAACTATCTCCTGACAGGGCAAGTAGCAGTGATTCTCCTTTAAAAAGACTTCATTTTCACAGCCCAATTAACAAGGCATCTGGGAGGGAAACGGATCTCAGTACCCACAATAGAGCTACTGTCACAAAAGTTCAAAAAGTAACAATACATCTGTAATGTCTTGTTAACTTCCCTGATGTCATACAAATTATTCATGCCATAACCACATATATAGTAAATTCTTCTTAAGCCTTTTTCCATGATTTTGCACTCTAGGGGGGCCTCTTCAAGATGGAATATTAATCATTCAAATTAGACTTGGATATATCATTTACCATCAGAACAAAACTTGGGTTTGAAAATGTCTTATTATAATATTATATACAACATAGTATCAGCTATACATTACAATCAAAATGATGGGAAATAATCACTGGAAAGCAGTATTAGAATATCTCAGTAAGTCTTCTGTAAATTATTTATTTCAACTGTAGCATCATTCCTTCTTGCCATCCTTCTGGCTTCTGGAATAGTGTAGAACAAAATGCACCTAATCCATTCTCTGGGCCCAAATCAAACACCACTTCAGCATGCAGTTAACCTTGTGAATGTTTAGTGTGTGAAAACCTTACTTCACAAGTTTAGATTGAGCAGAAAAATATGTTGATTCAAGAGTAGAGTCGATCAGCTAGTACATTCCCTCAATTTTTCTTTCACAGTTCCGTAGCAGACAGCCTGTGCTGAGCATGCTCCCCGCAAGTTAAAAAAGTTAAAAAACTAAAATGCTCACTGTTTTGTCCTAGATTTCTCCTAACACCAGAGGATAACTTTTCTATGAATATAGCCCAATATTTCTAAGAACTGTAGTAGCAATGGTTCAGTAGAATTATTCCCTGTTTGAAAATATACGTAACGTTAATTAAAATGAAAGATAGGAGTAAAACTTAACAGGATAACACCAAGCAGTGAAAAAAAAGTTCAGCACTTCACAAGCATGAAGGCCCTTACTGCATTGTGAAAATTAATTTCAAGCTTCCAGCTGTTAACTTTTCTCTAAGGAAGTATACTTACTCTTAAACAGTAACAAAAACCCACAAAACAAACAAAAAACTCGAATGACACCCAAAAAAGCCCACTCCAATAAAACAGCGACATTTTTTAACATTTAGGTATTTTGAATCAAAGCATAATAAACTGCCGCAGTACTGTGGTGTACAAAATTCAAAGGACATATTTAGCAAACACTTTCTTAATAATAACAGCGTACTTGGTTAAGCAGTATTGCCTGGTACGGTTTACATCACAACAAAACCAGAAGTGGTGTGGACAACAATCTGTGGATTTTGCTTGTCTGGTCTCTCTGCTTTGGTTTTGGTTTGTTTGTTTGTGTTGGTTTTTTTTGTTTGCAAGGGAGCATGTTTGTCTTTTTAGGAAAGTACATGGACAGTGTAATATTTCACAGTGCACTAAATGCCACTGAAATTTCAGACAGATTCTACAAGATGCTTCATGACAGCAGCCCTCTACAGGTGTCGCACGTGTCTCCACACCAAGTCCTTTGAGTCTGATCAGTAATCCTCAAACAGAACTCACTGCAGCAAACATTCTCATGTTATTATTTAATTTTGATTATCCATTAAAAACTTGTGCAGTCTAAGCATACAATGACTTCTGCAGACTGAATAGTATCTGACAGTTAAAATCCTCCAGAGAATTACAATACTTTCCTGTTTGTCATACAGAAGTAGTAATTTTCCACATCCCTAGAGACAGCAGCTATTCAAAAAACAGTAAGCTGTAAGACATAGGTAGGTTTACCATTAAATTCTCTTATGCATAAGAGTATTCACAACTGAGGGAAGATTACTGTCTAATAAAAAAATTATACCCTGCTTACGGAATTAGGTTAAATATTACAAGAACGCTTTCAGGCCAGAAAAGTTGTAATTTAGCTTAAATTAACCACCCAGACTGGCTACATTTTAAGACGATAAACAGAGCATCCAGAAACCTAAACTACAGAACAGATGAAAACAGACAACTAATTCAATATAAGTATCTAACTTAGGGAAACTGTAAAATGATATCCTTGAAGATTTTGAAGATTCTGTGAAGAGAATTATAAAATTTGCATGCTCTTACAATACCAAGAGAGTGGACTTTCAGAGCTGCTACTGAAGGTTTACTAAGAAATGTATTCCTTGAGTTTTACTGCTTTTAATGGAACAGAGACATTGAGAAGGCAATGACAACCAAGGGCACGAGGACTTCAGAAAACTTTCTTTTGAAATGTCATTATGGCGCACCAGAAAGAAAGAGGTTACTGCTTTACACTTCACAAAGCTGAACACAGAACACTTGAAATATTACATGCGTTATCTGAGAACTTAAAATACCTACCTTGTCTCTGATTTCACTATCCAGACTCTTAAAACATTCTTCAGTTTCTTGGATTTTTTTTGTCACTGGGGACTGCATTTCTTTCAGATTCTTTAGCTCTTCCTTGGCTCGGTCTCGGCTTTGTTTCACTTCCTCATGCTGCTGACGCACACTTTCATATTCCTTGGAGGAGTTGAAAGTAAAATAAAGACTTTTGTCTTCTACTCCAGTATTTTATACTGCTCTAACATTGTATTTAATTATAGATGAGTTTTAGGAGAAAAATCTCATTCAGAAGCTAGTATTAGAGCAACTACTTAAGTAATCCTCTGTTATCAGTCACTATGACTAGGAGATGTAGGGATCATCCAGTCTCCAATGAACAAGCACACACATTTAATGATTCTTAAATAATATGCAATTCAAGT